CGTGAATTTCACCTATCCAGTACTTTTGTCCTGTTTTGAAGTACGCTCGAGCGGTTAAGTCTGCGTTCGAGCGGAAACCTTTGTCTGCATGTCCGCTCGAGTGGATTAACCTACGCTCGAGCGGGACCCCTGTTTTCTGAAAATGTTTTCTAAGTGCATCTTGCATTCTCATTCCATCCTAGGCATTCTTAGGCCTAGTTTAAGACATTTTAATGAAGATATAGATGTAGAACCACACCGAGGCAAATTAGGGATTAAATTATTATCTTTTCCAACTGTGTAGCTTAGTGTGTGTTCAATCTATAAACTGTGTAGGGGTTGGCGGCTGGAGACGCGCTCTAGCTTACTGTAGCCCAGAACTCTGTGAGTAACAACTGTGTAAAGATATGTTCAAAATGATTATCTTCTGAACAATTGAACTGTACTGCTTTCTGAACTGATACTGTTAATTGAATGAATGTATGTCGTATATTCTGAACTGTATTGTGGCATCCTTAGCAACTACTGTTTACTGTTACTGTTACAGAGATCTCTGTCGGTTCCCTTGTTGGAACCACTACTGTTTACTGATTGATGGCCATCATTTACTGTTCGGTCTTTTAAGACCTACTGTTTACTGTACTGTTATGCTAATGGATGTACCACATATGACTGATATACTGAATTAACGAACTGTTTTCATTACTGTAAGGACATTCATTCTTAACCTCTTTACGCAGTACGTTATTCACTGGGCTTTAGCTTACTGCTCATATATATATGTAGGTGTACAAGCACCAGACCACAGCTAGAAGCGTCGGGGTAAACTCTAGTTTTGTCAAGCCAACTTATGTGCCTCACTGCGAGGTTCCGAGCCTGTCAAGCTTAGGCTATGGGGTGTTTTAGTTTTTCCCCTTCTGTTCTGTTTTGTAAACTGTAGACTGTTACCGTACTGTTTAATAGGGGTTAGGTCCCTGAACTGAATGATTGTATATATGTACATACTGTTTTGTCACTGACTGCATATATGTATGAAAAAGTCTTTTGCATATATGTATGAAACAGCTCATTGAACATTGTTTATTTACTGTTTTGGCTTTCGCCATGCCCCTGTACTCTGTTTTACTATATTACTGTTAAGCAGGCCTTCGGTAACCTTGGATTACTGGCCGGTTACGGTGCTAAACCCATAGGGGCGGGTTTGGGTCGTGACAACTTTGGAGTGGAGAGGTAATTGGGACGATTATTTGCCGCTCATGGAGTTTACGTACAGGGTTTCCTAAATTTTCCAAAACAAAATATTTAGGTGGCGATTGTGAAATCTAGCAAAGCAGTCCATGTTTGGCGTTTTTTTATTAAAATCGATTTTTCAAAACGATTTGCCGGATTTGGACTCTTTGGTGATTTATCAGTCTTGCATTGCACTATGTGAGATTAGATTTAGAACCGTGACAAGAGTCCGAACTGTAGTAACTAAGAACTACAATTCGAGCCCTCGCGCGCGGAGTGGAGTTCGGGCGGTCTATAGTATGCAGGTTGGCTGGAAACTTGTGATTAGGCCACCTGTGAAGGCTAAGTAAGTAGGAGGAGTGAATTACCAATTAGGGTGATGATTAAGGGATGAGTCATCACCAAAGCTCAAGTATAAAAGGGAGGGTTTGCACGGATTTGCTGAAGATCAAGAGAAAAAGGAAAAAAAACAAATAATAAAGGGAAAGTATACTGCCGAAGGTAACTATTATGTAAAACGATCTTTGATAGTGGAAAGTAAGAGTGAAAAATCACTATTAAGGTGAGCTATATTAAACCTTGAGTCACCATAATATATTTTACGTATGTTTTGAACTACCATAATTTATTTTGTATAAGTTATGTTTTATAACTTATATTTATATTTCAATTACATTAATTATTTTCTGAACTCCATTTTCTTAAATTGAAACCCATGGATATGCTTGTTTAAATTTTAAAAATTATTTGACAATGATTTTGTAAACAAGTATTTTCCGTAAGTACTACCATGGGAGTCTCATGCCTTAGGGGACTTAAATAACCATTGGCCTCTGTTTGGCCACTTTATGGTCATCTGTTTGTCATGGATCCATTGACCTCTGTTCTGATTGTCACTTCAGTGACCTTTATTCAGTTCTATACCGTGGTTATGGTTATTTATTTTCTGTATATCAGTTTTTGCCACCTTGAATAATTTGTTTATTCAAATTAAGTTACGTTACTATTTTAGCTGAAATAATTATCTATGATAATTTTTGTACCCACTTGCTCACGGTATAATATTTTTCACTCTGCCATGTGCTTATAACTGTTAACCACTTTTAGGTGACATATCAAAACCAGTGCATGGGGTAGGCACAAGGCACTTTGTAGTCATAATATAGCCCTGGTATTGCAATCGAATAGAAATTCCAATGTACATATTTTTGTTATACTTAAATGAAGATTTGGGTATCCTTTTATTTTACTCTCTTTGCACTATTAATTTGTTATGACTTCAGTTATTATCTTATCGCGAAGCCGAACCTCCAGGTACCGGGTTTGGGTTGTGACAAACAAGATGGACGAGAGATAGACAGAGAAAGAAAGAAAGAGAGAGAATGACATCAAAAAGAGATGAACAAGAGAGAGAGAGAGAGAAAGACATAGAAATAGAGAGAGAGAGAGAAGAAAGATGAGCAAGAGAGATAGAGAGCGGAGAGAGATAAGAGGGTCGGAGAGAAGAGTAATGAGTGTGTGTGAGAGAGAGAGAGAGAGAAGAGAGATAAGCGAGTGATAGAGAGAGAGAGACCCATTTCATTTTTTGACTTTTTTCTCTTTCGATAAGTGATTAAGAGAAATGAGAGATGAGCTCTTGAAAGAAAAGAGAGAGAGAGAAAAAAAGAAATCGATAAATCGAGAGGGAGATCGGTAAATCGAGAAGAGAGGAGGGAGGAAGAGAGTGAGCAACGCGAGCACAATGTGGGAGAGAGAGAGAGAGAGGGGGGAAAGAGAGAGAGAGACATAGATAGAAAGACAAAGATAATGAGTGAGAGAGAGAAAGAGAGAGAAGAGAGATGAGCAAAAGAGAGACAAAGAGATAAAGAGAGACAGAGAGATAGGAAGATGAAAAAATGGGTGAAACACAACAAAAATTCCAATTTTTTGTGACTGCAGTTCATGTGATCGCAAAAAACAACTTTATTTGTGACAGCATGGGTTATCGTCGCAAAAAATTCGCATTATTTGCGACGATAGTTGTTACCGTTACAAAAAAGTGGCTTTTTTGTGACAAGAAGGGGTGCCGTCGCTACAAACCCATTTATTGGCGACGGCAAGTGGTGCCGTCACAAAAAATCACTTTTTGTGTCGGTAATTGATGCCGTCGCAAATGCTTCTGTGTTATAAAACCCCTTTCTTGTAGTGAAATTTATGTTTTCAAAACATAAATTTTAGGTTAATTTTAGCTTATCGCAAAATTATTCAAATCTTGTTTCTAAAATCGATTCTAATCTTAATATTATGTTTTAAAAATAAACCTTTTCAAAATAAATTAAATAGTGGAACAATAAAATACCAAATCATTAGAGCTAACCCATTTAATAGCCAAACTCGTAATAACTATATTTTGTTAGCATGTATCAATTTAAGGTTCTCTCAAGTTTAAATTTAAACTTAAGAGAATTTGAGGAGTCTATATAACTTATTATGAATCTTATTTTAATAATTTGAATTGTTTATTTTGTACACCGTTAGTGTATATCATGAAAAAAATTAAATCAATTTCATAATCGGAACATTTTTATTTGATTGTGTTTGATCTTAAAAGTATTTCCAATTTGAATTTGAAAAAAAGTCCACCCTGAACAAGGGATTGGATTATAGGGTGTTTGGGGAAAATGGTTAAAAGCTGACTTTTTTTTGGCTTCTTTAACTTTTTTGTGTAAAAAATGTCAGAAGTGATATGACCCAAAATGAGTTAAAAACTGGGTTTTGACTTTTTTGGTATGTTCCCAAATGGCCCCTATATCAAGACTGTCAATAAAATTGGCACTATATGCACCCTATTATGCATTTTTGTAGTAAATATTATATAATTTTTTAGTAGAATTACGATAATTTATAATTTAAAAATAAGTTATGTATTTTTATGATAATGTTGCACGTTTTTATATTCAAATATTTTCTAATAAAAAAATACATGACATTATGTTGCTAAAATATCAGTATTAAACTTGAAACTCCTGACAGATGATCAGTAGTGCAAAGAAATGAAAGAATTGATTACATTTTTCATATGATCTCCTTTTATGGATAGACTAACGTCATAAGAGTGAATATCATACATACTTTTTTAGGGTGTACACGATAGCATTATCCATATATTTTATTTAGGGTAAATTATAGATACATCCTTTTTTGATTTGCTTAAAATATAATTTATCTCATATGATTTTAAAAATTATATCTCAGTCTTTAAAATTTTTAATTTTATAACGAATGACATATTTTATTAATAAATTATTAAGTCAATTAGTAGTTTTTTAATTATGTCATAAATTTATTTAAATTAATAATTCAAATAATTTTATTATTGTATAAGAGATTAGTTATAAATTTTATTTTTTCAATTAATTCTATTAAATAAAAAAGTCTGATAATGAAATATTTGTAAATTTTCAAATTACAGAAGACAAACTCATATTTTAAGTAAATTTTAGTATATTTAGGCCAAGTTTGGGAAGACTAAAAAAGTTCACTTTTTGTCTTTTTGGACTAAAAAATTGAGGTTGAAAATATGGATGTTTGGGTTAACTTTTTGACTTTTTATTGAAAAATGTGTAATAAAAAAATTGTAAAAATTGATTTGTAGAGAAAAATTTGAATTGGGAGTTGTGCAGGCGTAATTGTTGACTTTTGGTGAATAGTGTTAACTTTTTAGCTTTTTGAGTAACTTTTTGACTTTTTGACTTTTTTGGATCTTCCCAAACTTGCCCTTAATATTTTTTTTTTCCTATTTTTGTACCGCGCCAATCTTCTCTCTCTCTCTCTCTCTCTCTCTTTCTCTCTCTCTGTATCGCCATGGAATTCAAGTTTCGAGCCAAAGATGGGCAAGCTTCGACGACGCATGTCCCTCCTTCTTCAACCATCGGTTACTTCACCCAACAAGCACTCCGAGGTCCGTACACAATTCCTCTATACTTCACTTCTCTGACAAAATCAGAGGAGAAAATTCATATCTTTCGTCTACAAATACTCATGAATTCATACATTTATCGATTTTTGTTTATGGAACAAAAAGGTCGAAGGCTTTTTTTTTATTTTTTATTTTCCTATTTTGTTTTCTTGCATTTTCTCTGCCATCAAACAGAATGTGATTATTGAAATTCAGTTTGATTTCTTCGATTTATTGTTTCTTTTGGTGTTTTTTCACTGGTAATTGTGCTTTCAGCGGGCTACTCGTTCCCTGATTTCGGACATTCCTCCGACTTCATTCGAAACCCTAGCAATGTGCGCGAAGCGATTCAGCGAGAGCTCGAGAAAGAGCGAATCAGGGAAGAGATCATTGCGACCGAGATTGTTCGGAAGCGTATGCTGGAAGCGGAATTGAGGAGGGAGATGGCATTGGCGAGAGAAATGGCGTTACGCAGAGGAGAGGGGTTCTCGACTTTCTCGGCTCAGTCGGCAATGCGGTTTGAGCCGAGACTGTCGCTTTTGCATCAATCTGAGGGTAGATTTCTCGAGGAGAGACTCGCATTGTCGCTTGAGGAAAGGCTGGGCTACCAAGCTCACCACAGCGTTGGGGGTTTCGAGATGATGCGTTTTACGCGCAATGCAGAACCTAAGATTTCTGAGATCATGCCTCCTTCAGAGGTTAGCACAGAGAGTCATTTTCGTGGTCGGTATTTAATATTTTCGTTAATAAATCCTGTGTGTGTGATTGTTATATTAGTTTTTTGTTTTCTTTGATGAAATTTCTATATATGGGGTCCTAAGAACTTCTCCCTTGGTGACTGCAACCTCATTGATTTCTAAAGCGGAAATTTTCTTACTGGTGTTCTTGTTTTCATTTCTAGAGCTGTTCTGTTCATGAGTTTAGATGGTTTTGGGGTATAATTTCTATGTCAAGGTCATGAAGTATGAATTTTCTTTCTTAAAGCATTTCTGATAGGGGTTGAGTTATATCTGAGGTCTGTGACTTGGGGAAGAGTATGTATTTTTGCATTGTCTCACTACATCTGTAATTACCTTTAATTGTTTTCTTTTTCCTTCCGTGTTTCTGTTAAATCTCTGTATTATGGTTGACAAAAAGAAGGGTAAAAAAACCTGTGGTCTATGTGCTCTAATATAATTTTTTAGTACAATTTCACGTACTAGATCATTTAATTGCTATATAGGCATGCATGTGGCTTCCTTGAATTGGACCAAGTTTCTATGAATAACGGTGCAGATACTTGGTGAAGAAGTTCTTTTGTTTTTTGTTTGCCAGATTAGGTTGGATGAAATTATTAGTACGGCAAGATTGAGTGAGGTGATTATCAGTATGTTGGTATTAGATCACTGATATAAGATAAATTGTGTTTGTTTATGCATTAGTGTGGTCGTATTAATGGTTGGGATAAGATCCTTGAAATTATGTCAAAATCCTCATTACATAAAATGTGATTTTATTTTTTTGTAAAATGTAGGGGTTCACCTCCGCTCCCATGGGATTGGATTAGCAAACCCAAGTCCCCCATGAGACTGATAATTCCATGAGATTGATAACTCCATGATAGTTTTTCAAAACAAACATCATGTCTGTGGGCCCCACCACACTATTAATATAATCCCACCATCTCCGAAAACAAACAGAGCCTTTGTACTTTTTTTTTTTGTTTTTTCAATTTCACTTGATGAATAAGTTATTTGCAGGTATTACCACAAATAGGCTTAGGGATTAGAGTTCTACAAAGAGAAAATGCAGAAGTATCGTGGGGGAGCTTCAGAGTTACGTATCGAACAAAAGCTTATCATCATTCAGGTTGATAGGGAATCCAGAGGTAGTTTAGTGGAGATCATTGAGAGAAATCGACTCAGAAGTTATTCTATCAAGATAGATTTGGGGGGAGTTTTTTGGCCAATGCAGGGTTTGCGACAAGTTTGGAGATAGTGCAAGGATCTACCATTTTTCAGCAAGTATAGCAGCAGTTCAGCAGTATTCTGTCTTCAGAAATATAGCAACAAGGGTGGTGTCTTTGTCGAGTTGTCTAAATGGGTGGCCGGGGTACGAAGAAGTAACATTATTCTTCCGGCAGGAGCTGATGGTCAAGGGTGGCTGGCTGTGGCCAACATGTTTGAAAGAATTATTCATGGTGATTCTAGGGTTAAGGCCGATGGGGAAAGGAAGTATCCAAGTGACCATGATTCATCAAGGACTCGCACAGGCATCACAAGAGTGAACAGGTATGTTCAGTAGAAAACAGGGACAAACAGAGGAGCTTCGTATGCAGCTGTGCTCAGCTCTAAAATAGATCCCTTGGGAGGCAGTAGTTCTGTTATGGAGATGCGAAAGGTGGTCGTCTAACCAGAACTGATTTCTTCGATGAATGGGCACAGATTGAGGAGCTATGTCAATTTTTTAAATCTAATAATTCTCTGAGGCCTTTTCAATTAAACAGAGCTCTGTTTGTTGCGAAAAGCATTGAGGAGGCGGATTACTATAGTGGCCAAGGACTGTGTTTCTTTCGTAGGAGCATTGTGGTGAGTTTGGAGAGCTGGTCAGATGAAAAGCACAGTAGGGCTAATGTCATTGCTTCAAATGGAGGATGGGTCTCTGTTTGTGATTTACCTTTTAGTTTCTGGAATAACACGGTTTTTGAATGGGTTAGGACGAAGTGTGGAGGTCTGTTAGAGGTGGATAGTAGAACCAGGTCTTTAGGAAATCTCTTTGAGGCAAGATTGAAAGTCAAAGGTCTTGGTAATGGGTTCTTATCGGTGACTATTGACGTTCAACTGGAAGGAGTTTTTGCCGTTGCACGATTAAAGGCATTAACAAAGCCCAGTGGAAGACGGGAGGTTCACCGGCAATGGAGTTTTCAACCAGTTTCAGACGATTCCAGTATCGGAGAAAGGGTTGGTGAGGGGTCTCAAGCGACAGCTAAGACATGCGGCAGAATGGAGGTGAGAAGTCAGGCTGGTGGATTGCGTGAGGTGGATGACGGCAATGGAAGAAGCGTAAGAGACGAAAGGGGCAATTAGTTACAGTGTTTGATTAACTTTGGGCCTGGCCAAACAGTGGGCTCGGCCCATGATTTGGTTATTTCCAATAAACAACTTTATTTTGGAGTACAGGATCAGGCTGGCTCAATTGATTTTCAAAGTTTTAAGGAATGTGGCCCAGATACTAATGAGGGCCCCAATATGTTTTCTTGTTTTAAGGAAAGGGGCTCAAGTATTGTGGAAGGAATTAGGGCTTTTAATTCCAACCCGAAGGAGGTTTCGGGTTTGGGTTTGGGTAGGAATGTTAGCCTGATTATTTTGGCCTCACGGGTTAAAGCTTCCGAGTCAGTCAGTGTCGATGGGTCTCAAGGACTTTCAGCAACTGAGGATAGATGTAGACCCTCCTTTTTTGAAGCATCCAAACCAGTCGATCATTCATGAACCTTAGCATAGAGGAAGCACAACTAGGGCTGAACGATATTGTGGATAGATCATGTAGGGATCTCCAAAGATTAAAGGCCGTGGCTGAGGACTTGCTGGAGATTAATTTCGCTTCGGAAAAAATGGTTCAGGACTTGGAAGAGGGTCGTTTTTACACATAGGAGGTATTGCAAGCTCTGGAAGAGTATGAATCATCTGAGAGTTTAGATTCACAAACTAAAGGGGGCAGTATGGAGGATGAGCAAGCTAATCAGGATTGGACTCTCAATAATCTTTTCAATGCTGATTGTACTACTGATGGTGAGGATATCGAGCAGGTTTCTGGCTCTCTGAATCAGGTCAATCCTTCATTTACCCAAGTTTTAACATTTTCATCTTCACTCAAGGGGGTACAAGCCATTCCAGTTTCTTCTATTTCTATTTCTGGGGAAGGGGCTAGGGTTGGGGATTCTTCGGTTCATTCTTCTAGGCTGATTTGACCTGTTATTTGGATCTCATCAGGGAATATTAATGAACAAGGGGTTATCACAGATACCTCAAGGGCCATTGTGAATGAGTATAGTCTTTACAAGCTAATAGTACTCAAGGTCATGTGTATGACAATCAGGGAGGGATCTCAGGTAATCATGTTGACAAGGGGGGCCAGGTTTTTAGTAACGGGGTTGAAGAAACGGAGAGTTGGTCGAAGGAATTAAGTATGAGATTTGCCCAATTGAGGAGGAGGTGGTGCCTTCTTTTATGCAGTTACTTCAAGTTATGGGCTTGTCATTAGTTAAAATCAAGGGGACTTTTGGATCATTTAGTAAGAATGTTAGGTTTACAAGGGAGAAAGCTGGTAGAAAGGTAGGAGAGAGCACCAAAAAAGGGGTAAGGGAACTCAGGAATTTAGCAAGTTCGGTTAATTATGAGAGGCGCCGGGAGGTAACTACGGGTGTACATGTTTCCCAACAAATATTATTAGCTGGAATGTGAGGGGGTTAGGTTCTCGGAGAAAGAGGGGTGTTATTATGGATTTTCTAAGGAGTAATCAATCAGACATAGTTGTTTTTTAGGAATCTAAAGTAGAAATGTGTGATAGGAGGTTCATGAAGAGTCTTTGGGGTGTTAGGCATAGGAGTTGGGCTTGTTTGCCTTCATTGGGTAGATCGGGGGGCATTTTGGTGGTATGGGATGAGAGAGTTGTTTCTCAATGTGAAACTATAATGGGGGAGTGTTCACTATCAGTTAGATTTGGAAATCTTGATAATACAGAGTGGTGGTTGACCGGGGTGTATGGTCCTAATAGATCATCCAGGAGAAAGGATTTGTGGGATGAGCTATATAGGTTATCTGGGCTGTGTTTCCCTAATTGGTGTTTAGGGGGAGATTTTAATGTGGTTAGGAAAAGCTCAGAAAAACTCCATGGAATTCGAACCACTAGGGGCATGAGGGACCTTGATTTGTTTATCAAAGATTGTGAGTTGATGGATCCTCTTTTGTGCAATACTAGATTTACATGGTCTAATTTGCAAGAGAATTTGGGTGTGCTGTAGATTGGATAGATTTTTGTTCTCCTTGGGGTGGGAAGATATTTTCCCCAATTTAAGGCAGGAATCATTACCGAGATTAACGTCAGATCATTGTCCTATTATGATTGAAAGTTGTCCAGCAAAGTGGGGCCCAATGCCTTTTAGATTTGAAAACATGTGGTTGGAGCATCCGTCTTTTAAAAGAAAGTTTGAGGAATGGTGGGCCAACGCTAGTTGTTATGGATGGGAGGGTTTTAAGTTTATGAAAAAGTTGAAGATGGTCAAGGAGAATGTGAAGTGTTGGAATATGGAGGTTTTTGGGAATTTGGAGTTTTCAAAGAAGGAGGTGTCGAGCAGAATCGAAGAGTTAGATGTATTGGAAGTGCAAGGGAGTTTGGCTGAATCCTTTAGGAGGGAGCGATCTCAGTTGAGATTGAAATTGAAAGAGTTGGTTTTTAGGGAGCAAATTTTTTGGTCTCAAAAAGCAAAGGTTAAATGGTTGAAGGAAGGGGATGTGAATTCAAAAAAATTTCATAGGGTGGCAGTTGGAAGAAGAAAGAAGAAATTCATCAAGAGATTAAAAGTAAGCCCAGGGTAGTGGTGGAATGGGAGAATCAGATTGTCAATGGAATTGATGAATTTTATTCCAAGCTTTACTCGAAGGAGGAGATGACTAGACTAGGGATTGAAGGTCTTGAATGGGGATCTATTGATCAAACAGTT